GGCCACCGCAGCCTCGACCTGCTGGGCTCTGGCGATCCTTCCACCTCAGCCTTCCAAGTAGCTGGAACTACAGGTGTGCCCTACCACTCCCGGCTAATTTTTGATTTATTGTAGAGATGAGGTCTCACCAAGTTGCCCAGGTGGGTCTCGAACCCACGGGCTCAGGCAATCCACTCACCTCGGCTTCCCAAAGCGCTGGGATTACAAGCTGAGCCACCGAGCCCTGCCCCCCACATCTTTAAAATAAAAACTTTTTTAAAAAAAAGAAAAAGAATTTATATTGGATATATGAGGGTTCATATTAGTGTCTCTCTACTTTGAGTGTGTTTGAAATTTTTTGTAAAAAATATAAAAGATGCCGGGTGTGGTGGCTCAAGCCTGTAATCCCACCACTTTGGGAGGCTGAGGTGAGAGGATTGCCTGAGTCCAGGGGTTTGGGACCAGCCTGGACAACTTGGTGAGACCTTGTCTCTACAATAAACCAAAAACGTAGCCAGGTGTGGTGGCACACCCCCATAGTTCCAGCCACTTGGAAGACTGAGGTGTAAGGATCACCTGAGCCCAGGAGGTCGAGGCTGTGGTGACTGTGAGCATGCCACTGCCCTCCAGCCTGGGTGACAGAGTGAGACTCTGACTCAAAAAACAAAACAAAACTAGGAGAGAAATAATAAGAACAAACTTAAGCAGTAAGGATGGGGGGAGAGAAGGTGAATTTTGAAAAACACAAAAAGATAGGCTTCACAGGACTACAGTGTGTGTGTAGGGGTTGGGAGCAAAGAAGTGAAGGAAATGGATATTTTTTTTTCGTTCACCTGCTGGGTTCAGGTCATCTTTCCTCCCCAGTCTTTCAAGTAGCTAAAACCCCAGACATGTACCACCATGTCTTGCTTATTTTTTTGATTTATTGTAGAGCCGAGGTCTCATCAAGTTGCCCATGCTGGTCTTGGACCCTTGGACTTAGGCAATCCTCTTGATTTTGCCTCCCAAAGTGCTGGGATTAGAGGTGCGAATCACTGCACCTAGAGAAAATGAAAATTTAATTAGATGGATGGTGTTGCTTTTAATGAAGTTAGGGAATTTTGGAGGCAGAGCAGGTTGAAGACATTAAAATAATAATATTTTGAATGTGCTTACTTTGGGGATCCTGTGGTACTTCCAGATGGTGATGTTCAGTAAAATCTAGACTAGAAATACAGGTTTAGTAGTCACAGCACCACAGGTGGGGTGCATGGTTCCTTAGAAGAAAGTTTGGCAAATAATGAGCCCTATGGTTTATTTTGTGGGAGATGACCAGGCTTCAGAATAGAAAAAAATTCCTGTCTTCTTGGAGCTGTATTTTAGCAGAGGTTAGGGAAAGGAGGATATGGGCATTGTAAAATAGTAAAATGTTAAATGGTGAAAGAAGTTCTATGGAAACAGATTAAGGAGGGAAGTGGGGTAGAGCATCAGAATAACTTTTAGAAGCTTGTTAAAACATATTACTGGCCCCACATCCAGAGTTTCTGATTCTTTTTTTTCTCTGTTGACCGGGCTGGAGTGCAGTGGCATACTCATGGCCACCACAGCCTCAACCTGCTGGGCTCAGGTGATCTTCACCTTCTGCCTTAGCCTTTCAAGTAGCTGGAACTATAGGCATGCACCACCATGCCCAGCTCATTTTTTATTTTTTATTGTAGAGATGAGGTCTTACCAAGTTGCCCAGGCTGGTCTCGAGCCCCTGGGTTCAGGCAGTCGACTTGCCTCTGCCTCCCAAAGTGCTGGGATTACAGGCATGAGCCACTGCACCTGGCCTGGAGTTTCTGATTCAATAAGCTGGGAGTAGGACTGGAGAATATGTATTTTTAGCAAGTTCCCATAAGATGCTGATGTTACTAACCTGGGATGCATTTTTTGAATCACTAGTATAGAGAGGATGAAGGGGGGTGATGTTGCCTTTTTTTTTTTTTTTTTTTTTGAGACTAGGTCTTGCTCTGTTGCCCAGCTTAGAGTGCAGTGGCACAATCAGCTCTCTAAAGTCTCAAACTCTTGGGCTCAAGCAGTCCTCCTACCCCAGCTTCCCAAAGTGCTGGGATTACAGGTGTGAGCCACTGCGCCCTGCTATGCAAAAGTCCTTTGAGCATGACTGACATGTTTAAGGGACAGCAAGGAGACCAGTACACCTGGAGCAGAGTGAGTCTGGAGAAGAATAGAAAGTTGAGGCCAGAGAGGTAAGGGATTTGGATTGTACAGAGCAGAGGACCCCAACCCCTGAGTGTAGACCCATACTGGTTTGTTGCCTGTTAGGAACTGGGACGAACAGCAGGAGATTAGTGGTGATCAAGCAGAGCTCCGCCTCTTGTCATATCAGGGTAGGCATTAGATTCTCATGGGAATCCGTGGTTGGGAACCGCTGGTATAAGGCAATCCATCAATCATCCATAGGATTTGCAAATATTCAGCATAGAGGTAGTATTTAAAGCCTTAAGGTTGGATCGGATTGTCAAAGGAAGAGCAAAGCAATTGCAGGATTCAGGTGTAGAATGGTCATCGACTAAAATACACCGAGAATGGAGGAGCCTGGATAATTATTTATTTATTTATTTATTTTTTTGAGTTAGAGTCTCACTCTGTTGCCCTGGCTGAAGTGCAGTGGCACACCTTTGACCTGCTGGGCTCAGGCAATCCTTCCGCCTCAGCCTTCCAAGTAGCTGGAGCTACAGGCGTGCACCACCACGCCTGGCTAACTTTTTGACTTACTGTAGAGACAAGGTATTGCCAAGTTGCCCAGGCTGGTCTCAAACCCCTTGTCTTAGGCAATCTTCTCGCCTTGGCCTCCTAAAGTGCTGGGATTACAGCTGTGAGCCACTGTGCCCAGTTGAAGCCTGGATAATTCTAAGAGACATTTTGAAGCAAGAGAAAATAAAACTTAGTGACAGCACAAAAGGAATGACTCAGGGAAAAAAGTCAGGTGATACCACAGTTTATAACCCAGTGGAGAAGAAGAATGGTTGAAATGGGGGGAAAAGGGTAAAGAGAGTAAATAGAGTCTTTGATTTCTGAAAATTAGTAATAAGCAATAGTTCCCTATTAATCTTATTGCCTTATGAAAATGATTAGTACTAAGAAAATTCAGAAGTGCCTTAGAATTCACTTTCTCTTTAAATGTTTCAGTGAAAACAAGTATAAATGTTTACATTAATTTTTGGCCAATTTTTTCAAACAACTTTTGAATACTGATATTCTAAAAGTATTCAAAACTATTATTTTTTTTAAATAGGAAAATGGACGATGTATTACTAAGCTGGAAAACATGGGGTTTCGAGTGGGACAAGGATTGATAGAAAGGTGAGCAGTATGGATTTGAAAATTTTCATTCAGGTAGGTTATGAACAAAGATGATCCATTTCAAAAGATTGTATAAAACTTGAGATATTTCCATTTTAATTTATCAATTTTAATTCAGAGATTGAAATTTCTTTTTGGGCCCAATAACTCAGATATTCAAACTTTATGTTTTATTATTTGAAGAAAATATATATTTTATATACTTTAGTTTTTTTTCCTGAAAATGTTGGTGAATTAAAACAACTATCCAAAATCTTACTGCATTGTCTAGTAGGTTCTTTAACCTGAATAGGATTTTGTTAAGTGTATAAGAATGGAAATGCCATGTAGTCTATGTTTACATATGTCATTATCTTTCAGTTGCAATTCTTTTTAGTATTCCTTTCTCACTAACTGAATAGTTGAACTTTGATTATATTTTATGTAACAATGTCATGACCATACTTAGTCCTTTTTTTTTTTAAACTGGATGTACTAGAATTAATTGTACCTGAAACTTTGCCTATATTAGACTAATTAATAATACTGGTAAACTAACTGTAGACTTTATAATTATATAACAGAAAGTGAATCCTTTGAGATAGGACCTACTTTGGTGCTTATGACTTTATGACTGACAGTAAATATTCAATGCTGTTCTGGTATTTGAAAATTACTTAGTAATTTGTCCCTCTTGTTTTCTTTGGAGGAAAAATACTGTATTAGTTCTAGTTAATCTTTTCAGGTTTACAAAAGATACTGCAAGGTTCAAGGATGAGTTAGATATCATGAAGTTCATATGTAAAGATTTTTGGACTACGGTATTCAAGAAACAAATTGACAATCTAAGGACAAATCATCAGGTATTTAGATAAATTAAGGCCTATTTTTTAAAGTCCTTTAACTGAATATAAATGTCTTGTTTTGGTTATTTATTTAAAACTTCAAATAGTTTCTAGTCAACTTTGGAATGTTTCTTTTATGTTATTAATAATCATTAGTTTTTTCGTCTAATAGGGTAAAGTGAATAAAGACATAGGGACAGTTATCAGCAATAACAGCTGTTCCTTTCCCCCAATTATATAAGCTGTGTTCAATTTTTTAAAATAGCAACTATAGAATGATATAGGCTTTGGGATTTTGTTCCTTATTATTATTTAATGGTAATAATATGCAGAAAAACATATATCACATTTATGTCTTTAGAATAATTTTTTAGTTCTTAAATAACTCTTGCATTATTATTGCTGTCATATTTTCTGTTCTTTTTTTTTTCTTCAGTTGGAGTCTCACTCTGTCACCCAGGCTGGAGTTCAGTGGCACGCTCATGGCCACTGTAGCCTTGACCTGCTGGGCTCAGGTGATCCTTCTCCCTGAGCTTTCCAAGTAGCTGAAACTACAGTTGCATACTACTATGCCCAGCTTACTTTTTGATTTATTGTAGCGATGAGTTCTCACCAAGTTGCTCAAGCTGGTCTTGAACCCCTAGGCTCAGGCAGTCCTTTCGCCTCGGCCTCCCAAATTGCTGGGATTACAAGGTTTGAGCCACCATACCTGGCTATATTATCTATTCTTAAAATATTTTGTTAGCCGGGCGCAGTGGCTCAGCCTGTAATCCCCACACTTTGGGAGGCCAAGAGGAGAGGATTGCATGAGCCCGGGGGTTCGAGACCAGCCTGGGCAACTTGGTGAGACCTCGTCTCTACAATAAATCAAAAAAAATTAGCTGGGTGTTGTGGTGTTCCAGCTGCTTGGAAGGCTGAGGCGGAAGGATCACCTGAGCCCAGCAGGTTGAGGCTACGGTGGCTGTGAGCATGCCAGTGCTCTCCAGCTTGGTGACAGAGTGAGACTCCAATTCAAAAAGAAATTTTTTTTGGTTAATACTTAATTAGGAGATTGCATAGAGAACTGTGTATTTTATTTGTTTTTTAAAAATGTGGAAACAAAATGGGGGTTTTACTCTGTTGCTCAGGGTGGTCTTGAACTTCTAGACCCAAGAAGTTCTTTTGCCTCGGGCTCTTGAGTAGTTGGGATTATAGGCCTTTGCTACTGGGATTATAGGCATTTGCTTGGCTTTATTTAAATAGATTTATTTTACTTATAAAACTCAAGGGAATATTTAGAGTGGATTTGGCATTTTGATTAAGTAAATAATTAAAATAATGTATCTGGTGCTACAAGTAGAATTCATTTTTTCATATAATATCAGCATTAGGTTGGAATTACTTGAAATGTTAATGGGAAGAAGTGACATGATTTAATAATATATAACAGTTAATTTCATTTGGACATGTATCCATGATTCCTTTGCACTAGACTGAGTTTTTAAGGATAGGGACTATGTCTTATGTGTCTTTGTGTCTTCTAGTATATAAAAACATTTAGTAAATATTAGCATTGTGAAATACTGAACTTATAACTCTTCAGCTTGAACATTGCAAAACTCTTTCATTTAAAGAAAATTTGACCAATGGGGAAATACTGAACTTATAACTCTTCAGCTTGAACATTGCAAAACTCTTTCATTTAAAGAAAATTTGACCAATGGGAAGGAGAATTTTAGTAGTTTTAAAAAACACGTGAATTGTTTGTAGGAATAAGGTAATTTTAAGGACTGTGAACTATATTGACTTTGGATGTTTTTTCTGTTTTTGAAACAGGGCATCTATGTACTTCAGGATAACAAATTTCGTCTGCTTACTCAGATGTCTGCAGGAAAACAGTATTTAGAACACGCATCTAAGGTATTTAACAGAAGAGCAGACTGGAGCTTTCTGTTAAGAGTAGAACTACAGGGAAAAATAACAGTGCTAATTTTAACAGACACGTGAATGAAAAATATGCTTTATAGTATTCTTTTTTTTGTTGTTTAAAGAGTTTTCTATGAATTAGGAGTCGTCTTGCCGGGCTCAGTGGCTCACGCCTGTAATCCCAGCACTTTGGGAGGCTGAGCTAAGAGGATTGCCTGAGTCCCCAGGTTCGACATCAGACTGGGCAACTTGACAAGACCTTGTCTCTACAATAAAACAAAAAAATTGGCTGGGTGTGGTGGCCTGCACCTGTGGTTCCAGTTATTTGGAAGACTGAGGTGGAAGGGTCGCCTGAGCCCAGCAGGTTGAGGCTGCAGTGGCCATGAGTGAGAATCCAACTCAAAAAATAAAAAGATAAAATATCTGAGCAAGTATGTTTGCTATTTATCTGTAAAAAGTTGAGCGTGCCACTGCACTCCAGCCTGGGTGACAGAGTGAGAGTCCAACTCAAAAAATAAAGTATCTGAGCAAGTATATCTGCTGTTTAATCTGTAAAAAATTGTCCATACCTAAGTTATCTAACACAAAGGCAGACAGGCGTAGTGGAAGGATCATGGACTTGAGACCAAATACATCTAGGTTTGAAACTAATAAGCGCCACAATTTATAGATTTGTTTGTGACATTAAGTTACATAACCCCTCTGGATCTTTGTTTCCTCAGTAATAAAAAGGATATAATCTTGCCTATATTATAGGATTGTCTTGAGATTTAAATGTATTTAAAGTACTTAACATGGTGTTTTGTACATAGGTCATACTTATAGCTGAAAGATGTCAAACTGAGCCAAGAAATGGAAATGATATTTCTTTTCATAATTTAATTTTTTTTTAAGTGACGAAGTCTCACTGTGTTGCCTAGGCTGGTCTCAAACTCCTGGGCTCAAGCAGTCCTTCCGACTTGGTCTCTCAAAGTGCTAGGATTACAGGCATGAGCCACCACTCGTGACTTATTGCCAGGGAGCTGAGAAGTTTTCTGACAATCATATATTTCTTTTCTTTTTTTTTTTTTTGAGTTGGAATCTCACTCTGTTGCCCAGGCTGGATGCAGTGGCATCCTCATAGCCACCACAGCCTCGACATGCTAGGCTTAGGTGATCATTCCGCCTGAGGCTTCCAAGTAGCTGGAACTACAGGGATGCACCACCACGCCTGGCTAAGTTTTTGATTTACTGTAGAGACGAGGGCTCGCCAAGTTACCCATACTGGTCTTGAACCCCTGGACTCTGGAATCCATTCATTGTGGCCTCCCAAAGTGCTGGAATTACAGGTGTGAGCCACCACATATTTTTCAGTAATTTAAACAGTTTTTCCACAACCCTTCTTTTTAAATGGCAGTGACTTATTGATAGCATGGCTTAACTAATGTCATATTTATCAGTACCTTTACTATTTTTGTAAATCCTTACTATATTTTACAATTTTTTTCCTTTTAGTACTTAGCATTTACATGTGGCTTAATCAGAGGTGGATTATCAAATTTGGGAATAAAGAGTATTGTAACAGCTGAAGTATCTTCAATGCCTGCCTGTAAGTTGAAGTCACATTTCTTACAAATGTTTTTAGGACTTTTTTTTTTGATAGAGGAAATTTAAAATTTAAAATTAAACTGTTTCGTTTTGGTTTTGTCAATTCAACAGTATAGTAGTATGTAACATACTTTTAATATTTGATCATTTTTGAATTAATAGGCAGTGATTTAGGAAAATCTGTTGAAGAAATCCAAATTTGTAAGACAATATAAGGGATGATTCGTAACTTTTTTAAAAGTTAGGTTTATATAACCAGAAGATAATCTTAACTTTTAAAAGGAAATTTTCTGCAGTGGTCTTTTAAGATAACAAATTTCCCTATAGCATTGAAAATGTTATTTTTAAACAGTTGTTCAGAATATATCTATTATATAAAGTTAAACAAAGACAACTAGTCTTTTATCACTAAATACCTACCTAAAGATCTTTTCGCCAGAGCTGCCAACCAAGAAAAAAATTGGCTTGAGCTTCACTGTTTCCTTTCCATTCACATTGATAATCAGCAATGAAATACTATATACAAAAGGTAGGAATCACAAAGAGAAATAAGGGCACCTGTTCCCAAACCAAATAATAATCCCATACAAATGGAATTGACTTTATTGAATATTGTGAAGACTGTGAAAGTTGTTTGATGTATAAAGTTTCTTGACTGAAATGACTTCCTAAATGGAACAGAAAATTCATGGTTGGGCTTGTTTTCCTTGTACCTAAAATCAAAGAATGATTTTTATGTTTTCTTTTTTAGGCAAATTTCAGGTGATGATACAGAAGCTGTAGACCTTACTGAAATGCAAGGTTCAACAGTGTAAAGAGATAACTTATTCATGTATAAATACTTCAGGTAGCAATGATTTAATTATGTTGTTGGACAGTAAGCATGATTTTTATCAATTTAACACAGACCAACTCAAAGGACATAAAGGGACATTGTACCATAGCATACATTTTACTGAAACTATTCAAAATGAAAACCTGATTTCAAGTAACCAGACACCTGGTGTAGGACCCTTTTACTTTAAACTTTTTTAATTTGGTTAAAGTGATGTGTATTTAACCATATGTGGAGAAGCAAAACTCAGGATTTGTTGAATTAGCATCAAGTATACACCAACAGAATAATTTGTTAGTGTTAGAAATGAACACATTTTGATAACATATGGATGTTTTATTTTAAAAAGCAAACAATACACTAAATTATGTTTAATTTTTATTTTATTGTTTATAATTTATTTCTATTAAGAGAATGGTTATCCTGGCATATGATTTCATATGTACATTGTATGTGTATAAATACATATAGGACTGCCTAAATTGTTTAAAAATTTAATTTCACTTTAATAGATTTCAGTCCTTGAGAGCTCCATTAATGTAATCAGAATGAAATATAAATTAGTCTAAATGTGAATTCAGTGACTCTAGGGCCAAAGAATATTAGGCATGTTGAGAAGGAATTTTTATACTTACTACTGTTAAAGTCTTGACTTTCAATTTCTCTCCCCATGCATGGAAATCCTGGTGAAGGGCCTAACATCTTTACTCCCTTATTTACTCTTTTACCAGGGCAGAGGGGTAGGTAATTGGATTAGTCACACTGACTTTGATTGAACTGTATCTTCTCAGTGGTTTGGGGTCAATGCTCATTTGGCATATCTGTCTTACCAACTCTTCTACTTTCTTTATCCTATTTGATTGGTACAAGCAGGTATCTCTAGTCCAGCTTTTCTTAAGACTTTATCTGCACTTTGATTATAAAACCTGTGCTTTGTTTCCCATTTAATTATTACCTTTTTGCATATATGAATTGACAGGTAACTCTGCAGAAGGGGGTGATTGACATACCAAACAAGATGTTTCACTCTGCCATGAAAATGGTAGATTAAAAAGGTTGACTTCTTATAATGAAATGCATTTAAAAATTATAATAAAAATATGAAATAAAAACTACAAAAATGTACCTTAGGACATAAAAGAAACTGAGACATATCTTTTTTGGGGGGCTGGGGGGGTTCGAGTCTCACTTTGTCGCCCAGGCTGGAGTGCAGTGGCACATTCATAGCCACCCCAGCTTCGACCTGCTAGGCTCTGGCGATCCTTCCACCTCAGCCTTCCAAGTAGTCAGAACTACAGGTGCATGCTACCACCCCTGCTAAATTTTTTTTTCTTTTTTATTGTAGAGACAAGGTCTCGCCAAGTTGCCCAGTCTGGTCTTGAACCTGCAGGCTCAGGCAATCCACTTGCCTCGGCCTCCTAAAGTGCTGGGATTACAGGCTGAGCCACCAAGTCTGGCCCATATCTTATTTTTTTTATAGAAAGGTACAGTATCACAAAGATGTCTGATTAACTCAAATTGATTTATTATAGTTATGTACCACATAATGACAATTCAGTGACAGACCACATATATGGTAGTAGTCCTTTAAGATTATACCATATTTTTACTGTAACTTTTCTGTGTTTAGATATACAAATACCATTGTGTCACAGATGCCTATAGTATTTGGTACAGTAACATGCTGTACTGGTTTGTCGCCTAGGAGAAGTAGGCTATACCATACAGCCTAGGTGTGTAGTAGGCTATACCATTGAAGTTTGTGTAATGACACTCCATAATGTTTGTACGACAAAATTGCCTAACAATACATTTCTCGGAACATATCCCCTTTATTACGTGGTGCATAACTATAATCCTAATCCTCAGATGATTTGGAAAAAAAACAAAATTTTAGATTTGGAAAAAATAAATATAGCAAAGATCCTACCAAATATAGACATTTAATATAAAGCTTAGAAATTAAAAAGGGTCATCATGACTCAGGAATAGCTAATGTCACAGAAATAGATCAAAATAGAACTTCAAAATAAACAACAGGTGTACTATATAGGAATTGTGTGAGAAAGGTGATCTTTCAAATAATGGGGTTTGTTAGACACTCTCATTTATCTGCCCATCAGCCATTTCTTTCTCCCTTGTTGACAAATCCCCATTTTATTTTGGTCTTAACTCTGTAAAATAGAGTGCTCCCCAGGGTGGGTGAATGTTGATGGATTTTAAGCCAATTATGATAGTTGGCTTACTTGATTATTTGATAGAATCCTAGCTAATGAGATAAATGGGAGAATTCTGAAGGACTTTTGGGAAATTTTTTGTTGCTCCTAAAAATGGATACTAGATAGGGATTTGTTCCCTTCCCTTTTCTGCTTCTCAATGAGGATATGTGATGGTGGATGTGTGAAACTAATCTGCAGCAACCTTCTGATGAACATGAGAGGATAAGAATAGAAATGAAAGCCATCACAGAGGATAGCAGAATGCAAACAAAGCACCTGAAGTGTGCTTCCAAATAAACCAATCCTGGAACTGCTTTATCTTTGGACTTTAAGTTATTAAATTCCTTATATTATCCAATTCACTTTTGGTTATGTATTTTGTTACTTGTAGCCAAAAGGAGACCTTTCTTAGTAGAAACAAGGGGAGAGTTTAGGTTATTCAAAAAATAGTATGGGACAATTGAATATCCTTTTTTCTGGGGGAGAGGGTGGGAACAAACAAAGGTTTACATGTAAAACAAAACCATAAAGTACTAAGGAAATATAAGACTACTTTAGTGTTTTACGATGAAGAGGGCCTTTCCAACACACAAAAGTAGAAAATCATAAAGGAAAATAGTAAAAAGAAAAACCTCAAGACTAATAATATATCTTCTACAACTGGTGTTAGGAAAACCATTTATTCACATGAAAAAGTGAAATTCGATCATTCGCCATACATAGAAATCAACTTAAAATGGATCCAAGGCCATTGTTTTGTTAAGCACTGGCCAGGCCATGTTTTCCTAAGCTTCATCGCCCCCTCCTCCTTCACCTTAGGGAGGTTAATCTCCTCTGTCTATAATTTACTTTTTTTTTTTGGAGTCTCACTCCGTCGCCCAGACTGGAGTGCAGTGGCCGCTCCCGGCCACCGCAGCCTCGACCTGGGCTCAGTGATCCTTCCACCTCAGCCTTCCAAGTAGCCAGAAATACAGGCGCACACTACCACGCCCGGCTAATTTTTTATTTATTGTAGAGATGAGGTCTCGCCAAGTTGCCCAAGCGGGTCTCGAACCCGCGGGCTCAGGCAGTCCACTCACCTCAGCCTCCCAAAGCGCTGAGATTACAGGCTGAGCCACTGAACCTGGCTTATAATTTGCTTTCTAAATAAACCATATTTTCCAGTCTAATATCTGTGTAATTCCTTGCATCTTTTGCGTGGCACTGGGTAGCAGGCTTCTATCTGGTCTGACCTAACATTTGAAGGCTCTGCTGGGATTTTGACCTAACATTTTTGGAGGTCCCACCAAGATTTGCTGTACTTTTGTGCTCTCATTCACTTTTCCAAGCCAAGTATCTATGGAGAGAGATGAGGTGCTTGGCTCTCTACATTATCACCTGCGGTGAATTACAACAAACATCTCTCGTTGTTGCCTCAGTCTTGTCTGGTACAAAACTACATCACCAGTTTTTTTATTCAGTCTCTAGGGTGAGGTAAGCAGCTTCAGGAACCACACCTGAATTTCTGAACTGTCTGCAGAGCAGAAACTTGAAGACAAGTGGCAAGAACATCCACATATGGACTGAAGAATTCACTGGTGCATCAGTAAAAACTGCCTGGTCTGTAGTGGTTTTTGAGCACACTGGGTATTTGCCTGACGAGTTAACCTAATTAGCCCTTTGTGACACAGACCCCATCACCGTGGCTAGTCATGTGACTAACCCACCCATCTGCCTGCAGTCCATCACACTATGTCAGTACCTGTGCTTCCTGATAACTTGAAACAGACCACCACCCAATCACCATAATGACCTGCCCCAGCAAAGGGAAGGTTTAAAGGCATGCAACCTTAAGCAGCCATTTGCCATTATTCAGTTAAGCACTGGCTAGGCCATGATTTCCTCACACCTCACATCTCATAGGGTGTTCATTATTTAAAATAAAGTGTTGGTGAGGGCATGGAGAAATATGAACTGTTAGAATAAAATGATGCAGCCTCTGGAAGACAGTATGGAGGTTCCTCAGAAAAGTTAAAAATAGAATTACAAGATCCAGCGCTAATCCCACGTATGGTGGGTATGTAGCATCTCCCAGTTTCCCCCACTTTTTCTCTGTCCTGAGAAAAACAGGGTGCCTTGACATTGTGTGACCTGGCCAACTACTTGTTTTCCCCTGCAGGTTTGTTCAAGGCCTTAAACATTCCCAGATACTGATAAAAGGTTTTTAGATTGTTGCTCAAAACTCTGAAAGAAACTAGCCCTGGCCCTGAACTAGAAAGCTTATCATATAAACTCCATACCTCGACCCCCTCATTGTGGACATAGCCAGATAGAACATTCCTTGTCTCATTGGTCTCAGGATCCACTGTAGCCTCCTCTGTTTGTAAGTTCCCTTTATAAGTGCTTTGGACTGATCACCCTGGTGCTTAGTGCTTCTTCCTTTAGAATTCCAACCAGCTTCACCTCCAGATGGTTTGGGGCAGTCCCTTGTGGGAATTCCATTTCTGCCTCTTTTAGAGTGACCACAGCTGTGGGGGTTAAGCTAGGATGGAACAGTTTATCCAAAATAATTGAAATCAAGATCTTGAAGAGCTTTTTTTCCACTCATGTTCACAACAGTCAAGAAGTAGAAGCCGGGCTCGGTGGCTCAGCCTGTAACCCTGCTCTTTGGGAGGCTGAAGTGAGTGGACTGCCTGAGCCTGCGGGTCCAAGACCCGCCTGGGCAACTTGGCGAGATCTCATCTCTACAATAAAATAAAAAAAGTAGCCGGGTGTGGTAGTGCGTGCCTGTAGTTCCAGCTACTTGGAAGGCTGAGGCAGAAAGATCGCTGGAGCCCAGCAGGTTGAGGCTGCAGTGGCCGGGAGCATGCCACTGCACTCCAAGCCAGTCTGGGCAGAGTGAGACTCCAACTCAAAAAAAAAAAAAAAAAGAAAATGTAGCATATACATACAATGAAATATTATTCAACCTTACCTTAAAAAAGAAGGAAATCTTGTTATATGCTTCAACATGGATGAACCCTGAGGATATTATGTTAAATGAAATAAGCCAGCCACAGCTATAGTGGTACAGGTTGGTAACCTAAACCCTTTATAGTAGACATGGTAGGCTGCCTACACAATATGTACTTCCTCTTTCTTTTAAAATAGAATTCTACTTTTGTTAGTGGCAATGTGTCCAATTACATTTTCCAGCTTTTTTATAATTAGGGCTGTCATGTCTTATAACTCTGGCTTTACTCCCCAGATATAATCAACAAAGGGTTGTCCCTTTTTTCCCCCTAAAATGTAGATTGGGCTCACACCTAAAATCCCAGCACTTTGGGAAGCCGAAGTGAGAGGATTGCTTGAGCCCACAGGTTCGAGATCAGCCTGGGCAACTTAATGAGACCTTATATCTATAATTAAAAAAAAAAAAGAAATGAAAATTAGCTGGGTGTGGTGGTGTGTGCCTGCAGATCCAGCTACTTGGAAGGCTGAGGCGGAAGGATCACCTGAGACCAGCAGGACGAGGCTGCACTGCACTCCAGTCTGGACAACAGAGTGAGACTCCAACTTAAAAAAAAAAGTAGATTGAAGGCAAGAGATAAAGCAATCAGATCATAACCAGAAACATGAAAACTGCCTATTAAAGATGATAAAAGAAATTTGGATGGCGCCCAGGCCACTGAAGACATCATAAAGCTGCTGTATCATCCTGAACTTTTTTATTTTTTATATATTTTTTATTTTAGAGATGTGGGGGGCTGGGTGCGGTGGCTCAACCCTGTAATCCCAGCACTTTGGGAGGCCAAGGCAAGAGGATTGCCTGAGTTCAGGGGTGACAGAGTGAGACTTCTACTCAAACAAACAAACAAAAAAAGATGTGGGATACAACTCAGGATTAGGGATACAAGCAGACATGGTACAGGTAAAGCGTGGACCTTCCTTTGGTTCCCACTTTGCCTGGTTTGAGATCAGGCACTCTTATTGATGTTGTGACCCCTCCCCCACACCATCCTGAACTTTTCACACCAGAAGTACTTTATGAGAAACCAAAATAATTTTTAGAAACCTCAGTTTAGCTAAGTTTTCAAATGCCCTATTGACAGATTCTTATGACTTGCAACCCTACTTTTGGAGCTTCTGATCAACAGAAAAGTTGAAGAAGGAAAATGTTATGCACATGAAGACATCACCGTAGCTACCGTTTTCTATATTAGATTAGCACTGAAAGCACTCAACAAAAGAGACTGTTTAAGTACTTATGGTACTTGGACTATTAGACTTCCAATTTAAAGTGAGCTTTATGAAGATGTAAAATACTCATATATAAAATTACATCCACTCTAATTATAACTAGTGGCAAAACCATTGGTTGCCTGATCCATGGATATGCTGATCCCCTTTTCTTTTCCATCTCCCATGAATAAGACTGAAAAGGCTAACAACTTCATTTCCCTACCTTTCTGGGAGCTAGAGGTGATCATGTTATACATAGCCAGAAGATGAACACAAATGTGATGTGACTTTCTAGGAAAGGTTTTGCTTTTATGAGAAAAATCAGATGTGAAGGCTCGCTCTCCTTCCCAACTTTTTGTGTCTTGAATAGAGACACACTGAATTGCAGTAGCCATCTTGTTTCCATGAAGGAAAGGCTAAACGAATGTCAGTGACCACATTACTGAGCCACTGAACCAATGCTGGTGGCCAGCACCTCTAGACTTCTTGCTATGCGAACAAACAAAAAACCCTCCATTTGAATAACCAGTACACTTAGATCTTATATTACTTAAAGCAGAAAACAATCCTACCTGACATAGAAAGAGATTGATATAAACAAAAGATGTCAGAAAAATTAAAATAGTTGACCTATTAGGATATTATTGAAATAATGTGTTAGAAAGAGTTCTGTTTGTGCAATAAAGTCTTTAAAAATAGGGCCATTGCCTTGCTAGACTCTGGTGTGGCCATGTGCTCTTTAAGCTATGGCTGTCACCATGCTTCCTGGCCTTGGCCCCCTCCCTCACCTTAGGAAGGTGAATCTTCTCTCCCTTCTCTTTCTCTAAGTTACTTTTAAATAAACTTTTCTTTCTTAAAAAAAAAAAAGAATAAAAGTACTGGCTAGGCTCAGTGACTCAGTCTGTAATCCCAGCACTTTGGGAGGCTGAGGCAAGTGGATTGCCTGAGCTTGTGGGTTCAAGACCAGCCCGGGCAACTTGGTGAGACCTTGTCTCTACAATAAATAAAAAATTAGCTGGGCAAGGTAGCGCATGCCTGTAGTTCTGGCTACTTGGAAGACTGAGGCAGAAGGATTGCTACAGCCCAGCAGGTCGATGTTGGGGTGGCCATGAGAGTGCAGTGGCATGTACTCTCATGGCCTGGGTGACAGAATGAGACTCCAAAAAAACGTATTGAGTGTAAAGGGAGTATGTTTGATTAATTTCACTGCTGACTATGAACACAACTGACATTTAATCAAAAATCTTTTAGTATTGAGGACATCCATTGTCTTTTGTTCAGGAGTCAAATAAAATTTTAGTAAACAAACATATGTGCAACAAAATTGTATACATATATATACGTAAATAAGCAATAAAACAGCACCAAGGACCTCTGTAAAATTTCACCATACAGTTTCTATGTAGGCTGCGTCACCAATAAATGGCACTTGTTTTAAACTCATGTGACTGCAGAAAACTGTTTATCAAAAACTAGGTGCAATTTTCCATAGACATTTCAGACATTCAAATCGATAGTCTATATTCTGAGGAACAACTTGAGTCACACAGGTTAAGATGACAACGCTTCAAATAATGTTGAAGATGTGAGGCAATATGCACTTGCATTGGCATTGCACTTCCTCAGACTTAGGCTGCCCTCATCAGGAATATCTTCTATCCCTCAGAGATCAGCTACGTCAAGATGGCTCATCAGCTAAATCACGCTGGTCAAAATACCTAGGAAAAAAGAAATTTAATGTGTGCATAAAGATATTAATTGTAGTTCTACAGATAATAGCAAAATACCACAAACAACCGAAATGTCCACCAGTAAAAGACTGGTTCAATAAACTACAGTACACTGACACAGTAGAAAATTATGACGCTATAAAAAAGGAATGAGGAAAGTATCTGTACTGCTACAGTGTGATTTCCAGGATTTGCTAAGTGAAAAAAACAAGGTACATAACAGACTGTTTAGTTTGCTACTTTCTGTGAGTGTGTATAGAATCACAAATATACATGTTTGCTTATGCTTTTAAAATCAACTAATGAAAGTATAAACCAAAAATTAATAAGAAAATGGCTTCTTGGCCAGGAACGGTGGCTTACACCTGTAATCCCAGAGATTTGAAAGGTTGAAGCAGGAGGCTCACTTCAGACTGGAGTTTGAAACCAGTTTGGGCAATATAGTGAGACCCTGCCTCAAAAAAAAAAAATTAGCCAGATGTGGTGATGCCTGTAGTCCTAGCTACTCAGAAGGCTGAGGCAGAAGGATTGCTTGAGCTTGGAAGTGTGAGGTTGTGGTGAGCTGTGATTACGCCACTGCACTCCAGCTAGGGTGACAGAGCAAGACTTCTCTATAAAAAAGAAAAAAAAAAGAAGAAAAGGAAAAAAAATGTGCCACAACTGAAAATGAACAAAGGACACAGGCAATTAAAAAAAATACCTATGTAAGCCCAGTGCAGTAGCTCATGCTTGTAATCCTAGGACTTTGGGAGGCCGAGGCGAGAGAATTGCTTGAGCTCAGGGGTTCGAGACCAGCCTGGGCAACTTGGAGAGACCGCATCTCTATAATAAACCAAAAAATTAGCCAGTTGTGGTGGCACATGCCTGTAGTTTCAGCTACTTGGAAGGCTGAGGCGGAAGGATCACCTGAGCCACTCCAGCCTGGGTGACAGAGTAAGACTCCAACTCCAAACAAACAAACAAACAAGAAAACAAATATAATAAAATTAAACAGGTTCTACCTTCACTGATAAACAAATAATCAAGAAGCCAAGGTTACTCAAGTACTATACCTGCTAACCAAGCAAATTAATAAATTCAAAGCAGGAATTCTTTCATCATCTTTGTTATCCTAAAAAAAAAAAAATTCCTTTAAAATGCAAAACATGATAATTTTATTATATAACAGCAATCATCACATGGAAGTCAGAACCCTCAAAAAAAAAAAACCAAACTATAGAGTTAATGATTCTTTGAGAAATAGCTAAGATTACCTTTTAAAGAAAGATTTTGAATAGGGAAAAGAAATAAGAGTTGAGGAATCTAAGGAAGATAACTTGGGAGAGATATTTTCCTGGTTCCTAGTAGAGGAACAATAAAAGGTCTATGTCCTGATGAATGTAGTGAAGAAAAAAAAATATATGTATATATATATATAAATGCTTTAAGGAAGTTAGAGATGCAGGTGAAATTCTACTTTCTAGGATAATTCAGAAGATAATCCAGATCAAGGTTCTGAATTATGATGCAGGGATTTTCTGAACCATGCATTTTAGAATGTGAAGTTTTACTTTTAAGTATTTGTTAAAATGACAAGCCTAAGATATATCGTAGGTAGGTAGTCTCATGGAGTATAAAATTAATTTTTACACATTTCAAGAAAGCATTACAGTAACCTATTGAATAATATTATAAAACACCACATCATACATTAATTCAAACTTGGGACAGACTCCCATGATGTTAGTATAATCAATTCTTCCATGTGCCAAGCACTAGACGGAAAGAAGCTAAATAAAATATATTATCTGCTAATAGCACAGATGAAACATCTACACATACTAGCTTTAATACAAGTAAAAAACATATTAGGGTCCATATAAACGATACACACTATGCTGGAAAAACATGATGGAGCATTTCTTTCTAGTTGTTAGAATCAGGAAAGTATCATAGCAAGTGGTAGAATATGAGCCAGATTGAAAAAAGGAAATGGTATTTAGGTACAGATTGAAAGAGAATAGAAAGGCACTTCTGTAGAAAGGATAAAAATAATAAAGCAGAGGTGATACTTGGTGAACAAGTACATTTTTTTTGAAGCACAGGCCACATAAAAGTTAGTTTGGGCAATATTATGGAAGTTCAATAAAAATGTTTCCAGTGGCCAGTACAGAACAAGTATACATTTTGGGAGGAGGAAGGTGGAAAGAAGGAAAACAAATCAGAATCGGGCTTAATCTGGCATTGGATTATTTTATGCTGCAGGCATGAGTTAGAGGAAAGGTGTGACTGGAGAAATTCAAAACAATGACTATGCCAGAGAGGAAGAGTTGATCACTCTAGCTTCTTATCTATTTAGCAACAAAGTTCCTTTTTACCTACTCATACTGCCCAGGCAAAAGAAAACATTTCCTTCAGTCCTCTATGGTCATGTGACTAAAGACCTACATAGCCAGATGTGCTTGTAGAAACTCAGAGAAGGCTATTTCAAGATGGCCTTCTTGGGCTAGGAGCAGTGGCTTATGCCTGGAATCCCAGTGCTTTGGGAGGCTGAGTCAGGAGGATTATTTGAACCCAGGAGTTTGAGACCAGCCTGGGTAATATAATGAAACCTCACCGCTACAAAAATAAAAAATTAGCTTGGTGTGGTGGCATGTGCCTGTTGTCCCAGCTACTTGGGAGACTGAGGCGGAAGAATTGCTCTGAGCCCAAAAGGTCGAGGCTGCAGTGAACTGTGATTGTGCCACTGCACTCCAGCCTGGGCAACAGAGTGGGACTCCAACTCAAAAAAATGGAAAGAAAGAAAGAAAAAGGATGATGATATAGAAACTGCTTGTAATGATATACAGTGGCCTAAGCTCCAGCAGCCACCCTGGACCATGAGGTGCGCTAGAGGATAAAAGCCACACATGCCAGAACTCACAGGTCTAGGTTATTGCCATTCTAGATCTCATCTGCCTACCTTCAGACATCCTTTAACTGAGAAAACACTCCCATTTTATTTAAGCACCTGTTATGCTGGGCTTTCTGCTATGTGTTTTCCTAATTCACTTGAATCCTTTTCCATCATATAAATTGGGGGCTGCTTTCAATTTGAAATAGTTAAGTCGCAACTTACCACTAAGAGCCTCACTTCAGAACACCTCCTTGCAAGCTGCCGAATCAGAGAATGAGCCTCAGGTAATAAAGGTTTTTCAAGACAAGCCAACAAAGCATAAAGCCATCTTCCCTAAATTGAATTTTTAAAAGTAATAATTAGATAAATAATCATGAGTTCAACTTATTTTTTAAAATGCAATGTTGTATCTGGTTATTTGCTATTAATAAATTCACAGGACATGAAACTGTAATGTGTTTAGAGAGAGATGAAAAAGCATCATTTGGAGAGTCAGGTGATATCTCTTGTATCTTGTAATTATAGATACAGGACATTGGATACTTCAAAATATTCCCTGATCCCACCACCAATTTGTTTCAGATATTCTTTTCTTTTCTTTTTTTTTTTTTGAGTTGGAGTCTCACTCTGTCGCCCAGACTGGAGTGTAGTGGCCGCTCCTGGCCACTGCAGCCTCGACCTGCTGGGCTCCGGCGATCCTTCCACCTCAGCCTTCCAAGTAGCTGGAACTACAGGCGCGTGCTACCATGCCAGGCTAATTTTTCGACTTTTGTTGTAGAGATGAGGTCTCGCCAAGTTGCCCAGGTGGGTCTCGAACCCGCGGACTCAGGCAATCCACTCACCTTGGCCTCCCAAAGTGTGGGATTACAGGCTGAACCACTGAGCCCAGCCTTGTTTCAGATATTCTTATGATTGGAAGTTCTCATTCATAAGCAGAAAACTGTAAGATGCATATAAATCCTTGAAAAAATTGATACATTTTTTTTTCCTCTGCTTTCTATGGACAGATATACAAATCATTTTATAATTTTTGTCCTCTGGGTCCATTCAAAGGAACTATACTATGGATATAATAATGTTTTGGTACTTCTACAAATACCATGACAGGATGGATTTATCCCCATTCGCTTTTAAAATGGGTTTTTCTTTTCAATGACAAAACTAATATATACTCTGAAAAACTGCACAAAGGAAAAAAAAAACTTGCAATTCCATTATCCAGATAAAATTTCTGCTAATTTTTAAAATGTTCATTTTTCCAGGCAACCCTTTCGGGTCCCCTCCCATTGTGGGAGCTTTCTGTCATCTTAATAAGCAGGCTTTCTCAAAAATAAAAATTAAAAAAATAAAATGTTCATTTTTCTTACTTATATGTACAATTTTTTTTCAATAAAGTTTCATCAGTTGTAATACTATCTCATAGCCATCTTTTTTACTTGTAATACATAATAATTATTTCCCATGTTGCCAACATCCCATTGGGAGTCCCATTTAACAAAATGGGAAATGTTTATTAAGTACTATAAATATAATGGTGGTATCCAATCATTATGTAAGTTCATCAAGGTTTCTTTTTTTTTTTTTTTTTGAGTAGGAGTCTCACTCTGTTGCCCAGGTTGGAGGGCAGTGGCATGCTCATGGCCACTGCAGCCTCGACCTGCTGGGCTCAGGTGATCCTTCCACTCAGCCTTCCAAGTAGTTGGAACCACAGGCATGTGCCACCATGCCCGGCTAATTTTTTGATTTACTGTAGAGGTGAGATCTTGCCATGTTGCTCAGGCTGGTCTTGAATCCCTAAGCTCAGGCAATCCTCTTGCTTCTGCCTCCCAAAGTATTGGGATTACAGGCGTGAGCCACTGAGCCTGGCCTCATAAAGGTTTCTGAGATGTGATTACCAAACTGTATGCCAAAAAGTTTATACCAAATTATATTTCCACCAGTGGTATATATGACTTAGTTTATTATGAGCAACATATCACTTTGGGGAAACCTAAGGAATATTAGGAAAAACTTTAAATAGCAATTTAGACAGCACATTAAGTTAGGCAACACTAAATCAATAATAACACTTTTTCTTTTTTTCTTTGAGTCAAGAGTCTCACTCTGTCACCCAGGCTGGAGTGTAGTGGCACGCTCATGGCCACTGCAGTCTTGACCTGCTGGGCTCAAGGCAATCCTTCCGCCTCAGCCTTCCAAGTATTTGTAACCACAGGTGTGCAACACCACACCTGGCTAATTTTTTATTCATTGTAGAGACAAGATCTCACCAAGTTGCCCAGGCCGGTCTTGAAACCCTGAGGGCACTCCTCTGGTCACTATCTCCCAAAGCACTGGGATTACAGGCATGAGCCACCACACCTGGCAAATCGTTTTCTTAAACAAAAACATTCACTCCAGGTTTCTTTTACAAATAGCGGATTTAGCCGGGCTCGGTGGCTCAGCCTGTAATCCTGCGCCTTGGGAGGCTGAGGTGAGTGGACTGCCTGAGCCCGCAGGTTTGAGACCCGCCTGG